CTCTCTCTCTCTCTCTCTCTCTCTCTCTCTCTCTCTCTCTGAAAGCTCCGGAGATCTTCCACTCTTTTGTCAGTGGTGGGACCGGCTACTCCTTCGAGGTGGACTGGTGGTCAGTGGGGGTGATGGCCTATGAGCTGCTGCGAGGATGGGTAAGGAGCCCTATGGCTGCCACTCAGCCCCCAGAGTCTGACTGGCTGTTCCCCTATACTTGGGTGGCCTGAGTGCCAAGAAGGGACCCCCACCACCACCTCAGAGAGGGCTAATGCTTTCAGTAAAGTGTCTGGGTTAATGTTGGTGCCTGAGAAAGTAAAGGAGGAATGAATTTGTGAGGCAGTGAGCTCTACAGGGGCAGTGAGCTCTACAGGGTAGACAGGGCAGTGCTCAGTGTGGGAGGAGGGCTCCTTGGAACTTTCTGCAAAGCGAGGTTGCCATGTGTCCCTGTGTTCTTGCCACTGGAGGAAGATACTGCCCCAGGACTTGTGCTGCCCTCCCTGTCCCCCTCAGACACCCCACAGGACCTCACCCTTGAGGATGGCAGCCTTCCTGGCCCTCTAGGGGTCACTGCACCTTCCAGCCAGATGGGCATCCAGGCTGTGGTGCAGAGCTTGGCCAGTACAGGCTTCACACCCTTGGGCTCTTCAGTGATCAAAAGCTACACTTTGAGCTGTGCCAGCACTTGGGTTGGGATTGAGGGCTCAGGACACTTGTGCCTGGCACTGTTCTGGAGGCCGTGGGGGTGAAGAGCACCTGGCACCGTGCCTCCTTACCCACAGAGGCCCTATGACATCCACTCGAGCAATGCCGTGGAGTCACTGGTGCAGCTGTTCAGCACTGTGAGCGTCCAGTACCTGCCTACCTGGTCCAAGGAGATGGTGACCCTGCTGCGGAAGGTGAGCCTCCCCTTGTTCTACCCACCAGGAGCTCTACACTCCTCATGTTCATTCCCTCTGAACCTAGGGCAGCACCTCCTTCCCAGGGTAGGCAGCTCTACCTTCTTGTGGGCTCAGACCCCTTCACTAGTGCTGTGCTAGAACCTTCCCCAGATAGCAGCCCTGAGACCCTGCACTGAGGAACAGCATTTCTGGCTCCTGCGTTTTTGTGTGTTGAGGTCCAGCAGCAGGCCATGCTGTCCTCTTCTCATGGTGGGCCTGCTCTGACACTTGTGAGCTATCACTTTACAGTCACCTGTCTAATCCTCACAGGGGCCCTGGGTGCCAGGACACTGGTAAACACACCACTTCACAGATGCACACGCTGAGGCACGGACCGTGGGAGTCAGGCCTCCCACCTGCATCCCTTGTGTGGGAGGGAGGGTGTGGGCCTGTGCTGCATCCTGGCCTCCTCTGCCACACCCCTCCATTGGAGGTGCACACAACCTGGCAACCCTGCTGGGAAGCAAACAAGGAGAGACCAGGTCCCCTGTGAACCTCTCAGGCCCTGGGCTTTGACTATAGAAATGCAGGGGAAATTAGCTGGGCAGGGTCACAGGGCTGTAGTGTTGCCATCAGTGGTCCCTCCCATCCACTGTTTGGGGCCGGCCAGGGGCTACTTCTCACTTGGAGAGCCATCTTTAAATATGGTGGCTGGTGCATCCAAAAGGAGAGTCTGAGAGCGTCACCTAGGGTTAGGACTGGGTGGAGAGAGAGACTGTGCCTACCAGGCCTAGCCAGCTCTTGACCAGGAAGGAGGTGCTGGCCATTGTGACATTGCTGCCCTGGGCAAGCCTGAGTGCCTGGGGTTATCCAGGCATGGAGATCCTGTGCTGTGGTGGAAGCAGATTTGCATTAGTTACTCTCAGGCCAGCCACCTACAGTTACTTGATAGCCTTAGCGGACCTCTGCTGCCACCTGCTGGCAAATTATGGCAGGACCTCCCTCCCGATCCTTTGCTGTCTGTCCTTAGGCATCAGGGCTGCTAGATGAAATTGTTCCTTGGGCCACATGAATGGCCTGAATTTCCAAGCTTCAGGCTTGGCAGACTTTGTGGGGTGCTCTGTCCTGGGATAGGTGGCTCCTCTTCTTTAGGGAGGACATTGAGCCCAGAGCCTAGCTGACATGGTCCTTGTTGCAGCTCCTCACTGTGAACCCTGAGCACCGATTCTCCAGCCTTGAGGACATGCAGGCGGCCCCATCGCTGGCCCATGTGCTGTGGGACGATCTGAGTGAGAAGAAGGTGGAGCCGGGCTTTGTGCCCAATGTAAGCTTATGCACTCAAATGGGTGGTTCCAGGGCCTGGTGGGGTGGCACCTGCATGGCAGGCTTAGTGCCCTGTCCCTCTGCAGAAAGGGCGCCTCCACTGTGACCCCACCTTTGAGCTGGAGGAAATGATCCTGGAGTCGAAGCCCCTGCACAAGAAGAAGAAACGGCTGGCCAAGAACAAGTCACGTGACAGCAGCAGGGACAGCTCCCAGTCGGTGGGTACTGGGCACAGAGTCTTCTCTGCCACCTGTGCACAGTGTTCTGCAAGGCCACTGGGCAGGGCACACATCTTGAAAGTCCAGTTAGTGGTCTTCCTAAAGTCCTGAGAAGGCCCAAGGACTCCTACTTTTACAAAAGTCCCACACCCCCTTCCCATTCCCATAGCTTCTCTGAGCATCTCACTCCTTCTGAAGAAGGCTGGACAATGACCACTGGGAGCATCAGCACCGAGCAGACAAGGGGTCATGTGTGGGAAGCTCTTGACCACCTGTTCAGGTGCACAGGTGGTGCAGAGGTGTTAGTGTCCAGTGTGTTGGTGCCCAGGTGCATTAATGCGCATGTGCAGTGATGTCCTGGGCTGCCATACCAAAATGACTACAGACCAGGGGCTGAAACAACAGGAATATCTTGTGTCTCTGTTCTGGATGCTCAAATCCAACATTAAGGTGTCAACAGAGCTGTGGTCCCTTGGAAGCCTCCAGGGGAAGGAAAACCCTTTTTTGCTGCTTCTCCCAGCTTCTGGCAGGGTTGTCAATCCCAAGTATCCCTAGGCACACAGATGTATCCTCCTGTCTCTGCCTCCATTGTCATGTGACTCCCTTCCCCCATAGGTCTGCTTCTCCTGTCTCTTTCTTACAAGGCCACCGGCTGGATTCAGGACCCACCCTGTTCAGTTATGACTTCATCTTAAATTGATGACATTCACAAAAGTCCTATTTCCAAGTAAAGTTTCATTCCCAGGTGGTAGAGGTTAGGAACTGTTTTATAGGGACACAGTTCATCCTGTAACACCAGGGTATAGGTATAGCAGATGTGCAAAGAGCAACTGTGGTTATAATTGGTGATGTCAGGTGACAGATATGGTTAATGGATCCCTGCCCCTGGATCTGAGCTGGCCTGTGGAGGAAATGCTGGGGTGCCCAGGCCCCCAATCCCTAGGCAGACTCCTGACCTGGTGACCCTATATTTTTCCTGAGCATATGGATATCTGTCCCCTCCTCACTGATGTGGGGTGCAAGGCTCGGAGAATCCACTGTGTGCCACAGTTTTTCAGAGAATTTAGGTCTGAGTCCCATTCTCCTTGCTACCAGACTGTTGAAGACGACCCCTGGTGTCCAATGGGTGGAACTGCAGGTAGAGAGCTATAGGGTGATGTTTGGGGGGTCCTCGCTGAGATCATTTTGGGAGGTCTTTCGCTTTCCCATGATTAAATATTTAAGTTCTACTCAGCAGGCATCTCCAGATCCAGGGTTTTAGGGTGTCTAAACTGGCAGATAGGGGTATAGATCCTTACGAAGGAACCCAGGGACAGGCAAAATGCCGAGCCCAGCTGGCCGTGCTGACCTCTGGGGGCTGTGGACGGGAACAGGTGACATTAGGCACCTGTGGATGGGGTTGGGGTGGGGGACTCGGCATTGTCTTGGATCAGTTGGTGGGAGAAGTTCTGAAAGGCAGCCTGCTAAGAAAAAAGAAATCCCAATATTCTATTGGAAAATTAAGAACCTTGAGACTGAGAGTTTTATTTAACAGTTTTATTTTTATATAACGCACGTACCAAACAATTCACCCATCTAAAGTGTGTAATTCACTGGTTTCTAGCATATTAATGGATTGAGGACCCACCACCTGATTTTTTTCATTTAAAAAGCCCCATAATCAGCAGTCACTCCCCATTCCTCTCTTCTTCCTGCCAGAAGTCCATGGCAGCTACTCATCTGCTTTCTATCTCCATGGATTTCCCTGTTCAGGACATTTAATAGACATGAAATCCTCCAGGACGTGGTCTTTTGTGACTGGCTTCTTTTCGTGAACAGTGATTCCAATGTCCATTATGCTCTTCCACATGCAGGGCTTCATCTCTCTATTGCTGAAGAATATTCCATTTCTACATTGTGTTTTAGTTAGCAGGGAATTGCATGTTATTTTTATGTATGCCTTCTTCAGTTGATGAGTATTTGGGCTGTTTCCACTTTGAGACTGTTATGAATAGTGCTGCTGTGAACACTCACATGCACGTCCTCATGTGGACACGCACTTTTGTTTTTCTGGATGCACACCTAGGAGTGACACTGCACTTCTTTTGTCCATGTTTTCAGGAACCGCCACACTGTTTTACAGCGTCTGTGCCACTTTGTAGTCCCACCAATAGCATGAGGGTGCTGATGGCTTCATATATGCACCAACTCCTGTTGTTGTCTGGTTTGTTTGCTTTTAAAATCACAGCCATTGCACTGAGTGTGAAGTGGTAGTTGGTTTTGATTCACATTTCCCTAATAGTATTGAGCATCAGTTGGTCAATGGTTGGCCATTTCTTCTTGAAGATATTTTTTTCAGATCTTTTAAAAATTGGGTCATCTTTCAAAATCCACTCTGACAATATCTTTTAAATGGTATGTTTTAGACCATTCATCCTTAAAGTGACCATTCTATTGTTGGAGTAATATCTACTATATTTGTAACTGTTGTCCACTTGTATTTGTTCTTTCTTTTTTCCACTTTGCCTTCTTGGGTTTTCATGAAGCATTTAAGGTGATTCTATTTTATCTTGTCTCTTAGCTCATTAATTCTACCTCTTTAAAAATATTTGTAGTGCATGCTGTAGTATTTGCAATATGCCTTCAGCTTATCTAAGTCCATCTTCAAACAGCTCCACATCACTGTATGCCCAGGAGAGGTGACACCTAATAGGGCATCCTCACTCTGCTCCTCCCATCCCTATGACATTGCTGACATTCTTTTCATTTACCTATATTCCATAATTACTCAATACGTCTTCACTAGTATTATTTTAATCTGTTATCTTGTAGATCAATTAAGAATAAAAATAGATTTTTAAATCTCTGATTACTCCCCTTATGTAGGTTGAATTTCTAACTTGTGTCATTTTTTTCCCTGAAGATTTTTTATTTTGGTACTGAGCGTTGAACCCAGGGCCTTTGCACTGAGTTACATTCCCAGCCCATTGATTGATTGATTGATTTAATTTTGAGAGAGGTTCTCATCTTTGGACTCAAACTTGCAATACCTCTGCCTCAGCCCCACAGAGTATTGGTGTCACAGGCTTGCACCCCGCACCCGGTTTGAACTTCTTTTGACGTTTCTTAAGGACACAGCTACGGTACTGAATTTTCTCCATTTTTGTATATCTGTGAAAGTCTTTGTTTTGCTTCATGTTGGAAGGATAATTTCATTGACTATGAAATGCCAGGTGGTTTTTTCTTTCAGTGCTTTAACTATTTCATTCTACTTTCTTTTTTCTGGCGTAGTTTCTGACAAAAAATCTGAGATAATTCTTTGATTGGCTGTAAGTAGGATATTTTTCTCCTCTAGATTTTTTGGGAGAGCTTTCTGAAATTTGAATGTGACACACCAGGTATGGATTTTCCCTTTTTTTTCATTTATCCTAGATGGTGTTTGCTGAGCCTCCCGCGTCTCTAGTGTGGTGTCTGTCAGTAATTTCAGAAAATTCGTAGCCATTGTTACTTCAAATATTTCTAATGCTCTGTTCTCTGTCTCTTCTCCTTCTGGTATTCTAGTTATGCATTTTATACCTTTTGAATTTGTCCCACTGTTTTCGGATATTCAGTTCATTTTTAAAATTCTTTCTGTCTTCGCATTTCAGCTTGGGACGTTCCTTCATATCAGTGAGCAGTTCCTTCATGCTCACTGGTGCTTTCCATGTCTGCTCTAATCCCTGATGAGCCTGTCAGAGGCATTCTTCAGTGTTTTTCTTGCAGTGTTTTTCCAGCATTCCTATCACCTTGCTTGGATGGTCTGTCTGTTTTTGTACTTGTTTACTTTTCTGTTGCAGTCCTCAGTACACAAGTCACTATTGATTAAAATTTCTTTTCTGGTAATTACAACATCTGTGTCATCTCTGAGTTTGACTGTAATGTATGTTTTATGTGTTTTTAAATTGATTTATTGGTATATTTTAGGTATACAATATAATGACATTCATCATTAGAAATTTGCACCTTTACATACTCTCTCTTGGTTCTTATTTTTTCCCCCTTCCCTTGCGCTCCCTTCAACCCCTCCATCCTTCCCTATTTACAAAGACTTTGTTTCCATTTTGCATGTTTTATGTCTTTATACTGGTTTTTTTTCCCCTTGTCTTTTAGCATCTTATAATTTTTGCTGAAATCTGGACATGGTGTGTCAGATAATAGGAGCTGAGGCAGATGGGCCTTTAGCCTGAGGTTCTGTGTTCCTCTGGCCAGGAATTGGCTGTGTCTAATGTCTACTGGTGCTGCAGGTGGCAGGGGCTTTGCACCCCTTTAGTGCCCTTGTTCCTGTCTCTAGCATTGCCTTTCGGCTTCCCTGAATCCTTGGCAGAGAGGGGCTCTCAACTCCGTGGGCTGTGGCCTGTCCTTATCCTGGAGCCCTGAGGGTGGGGAAGAGAGTGTTCTATAGCCTGTGATTGCATCACAGCCCCTTCGAGGCCCATGCCCTTTACAAATGTCTTTCAGATCTTTTCCCCTCCCCCAGGGAAGAAAGCTAGAGGGGTTTGCTGTGAGAAAAACTCCCTTTCTTCAAGACAGAAGTCTTTCCCCTTGGAGAACAAATGCCACATTTGTTAAGGAGAAGGCTCTGAATGCGTTTCAGTGGCTACTTCTCCCTTCCTCCCATGTCAGTGTGTGGGACTGTGTCTTCATTAGCATCTGGGAAGATTCTGGGAAGTAAAACCCACACAAGGTTGGGGGGCCCTACAGGTGCAGCCCCCGGGGGTTTTGCAGATGTAATCTCCGGAAGCGTCTCAGGACTGCTGTACAAGTGTTGCTGCCATTCCTGACTCCACTGGCTTTTCTAGGGAAGCCAATCTCAGGTGGGACTCATTCGCCTTCTGTCTGGATTTGGGGGGAGTGGTAGCCCCTTGTCCTCTGCTCTCTGATGTGTACAAAAAAAGGGTTGCCTTTCAGTTTGTTCTTCTTTTTTCTAGTTGTAACAGTAGGGGTGGCAACTTCTAAATTGTTTACATGGCAGAGCAAAAGCCACAAGTCCTTGTTTGTGTTTTTGTTGCTTTGTAAGAGTTATTGTTTATATACTCTGGATACAAGTGCCTTATTAGTTAGGTGATTTGCAGATATTTTCCTTTGTTTTGTAGGTTGTCTTTCTCTTTGACAGCGTCATAGTGCAGCAGGGAAGTCTTTGGTTTTGTTCAGTGTAGCTACTTCTTTTGTTACTTGCGCTGCCATGTTTAAGAACCATCACCTAACCTAAGGTCACAAAGATTTACTCCTCTGATTTCCTCCAAGTATTTTATAGCTTTAGCTTTTGCATTTATACCTAGGGTCCATTTTGAGTTGACTTTTATGAGTGGTATCAGGTAAAGGTCCAACTTCATTCTTTTGTATGTGGATATCCAGTCTTCCCAGCAACATTTGTTGAAAAGGCTATTCTTTCCTAAGTGAATTGCTTGGCACCATTTTTAAAAAATCAATTGAATATAAATAGAAGGTTTATCTATGGACTCACAATTTCTTCCATTGATTTATATGTCCTGTCCTCAATGGCAGTACACACTGTCTTGATTACTATTGCTTTGTAGTAAATTTCGAAATGAGGTACTGTGACTCCTCTTAGTTCCTTTTCAAGATCAACAGAATGTTCTGGGTCCTTTTTGTTTCCAATGAATTCTAAAGGGTTTGGGAATTGTATCTGAGCTTCTTACAAGTCTATTGGTGACCATTAGGGATTGGAGCGCTGGTCTCTATTTCCTAGGCCCTTTGTCACCATGGGTGACATCTGAGATCTAGTGCTTAGTCTGAGTTTTCATAGAGGTTCCATAGATTTCTGCCCTGATGTGAGGATTTGTGTGCATGTGAGTTCCTTAGAAAGTCCATCCAGCAGCAGTCACTCAGGGGTAGGAGAAGCCAGTAAGAGCTGAATGTTAGGCAGAACCCTATGGCTTTACCCCAAGCCTGCAGGAGCCTGCAGGGGACTGCAATGCAGGGGTGGCTTGCTCCAAGGGAGCTGGATATCCCCATTTCTGTACACAGCTATCACTCATAAGGGCCTAGAGTACCCTAAGTTTCTGTGGCTGTCCAGCTGTGTGTGTGTGTGTGTGTGTGTGTGTGTGTGTGTTGGCCAAGGGCTTTGTCAGCCCACAGCATATCACTGAAGAAGAGTCACCAGTGCGGTGCTCAGAAAGAAGCCAGCAGAACTGGGGCAAGACACCACAGAAGACTTCCTGTTGACAGCACTTCAAGCCACTGAAGAGAAGAGTACTTTGTGGAAATGAGTCTCATGGTATTGCACTCACTGCTTATGACAGCCTACTTCTTGTGCCACTCAGTGCCACTTTTTGTAGATATTTTTGGAGCTGCTCCTCTTGGGGGACTTTTCTTCCTAGGAAAAGTTTGTATGTGGCAGGTTAATGGAATAGACCACATTCCTGCCATGGAGCTGCACAGTTGGCCAAGGCCATGACTGATATTCATTGTCTGCATCCTCCAGTACCATCCTGGTTCCTCCTCAGCCTCATATCACACCTCTGCCAATCTCAGCATCTCACTGGCTGAGTTCTGCCTCAGGCCATGACTTAGATCCTCACCCCTGAGTGGTATGAGACTCTGGTCACCATTACCTTCTCAGACCAGAGTTTGTGCACCTATCCACCATCAAAATGAGGCCAGGGAATACTAAGGCACAGCCAGGTAAATTACCTGGCCCCTCTCAGGACAAAACACCACATCTTCTTGATGATTATGGTCAGTTCCCCTGCCAGGATGATGACTTCCTTCAGGACAACCACAGTGACATGTCAAAGTGCTGGGGAGGAGATAGCTACATGGAAAGCAGAGAAGTTCACAGGCAGCTCTGGAAATCAGCAGAGTTCCCCTTCTGTAGATACTGGTCTGCACCCACTGCATGCACTGTGTGAGGAAACCACTGAGATGGGACAGAACCACTGGAAAGGATCATGAAGAATAACTGCTGAGCTCACCTGGGGCTGGTTCGTTGTTTCTATTAGGCAGCATGAAAAACGTGGTATCGAGAAACAAGAAGAGTGCTCAGAAGGGCATTGTTCAGGTGTAAGGAACAATTAGCTGCCTTAAAAACCCAAATGAACCTACCACATCCTGTGTTTCTTTCCTAATGGAAAGAGGTGCAAAGTGTAATCACTTGATCTGTACCTTGAGTTAGCCCCCTATGACCATATCCCTAAATCCCTGAACAATTTATGCATGCTCCTGAGCTTTGTAGAATTTATCTCCCTCACCCTTGGACATGTGATTTACGAGGGCACCCAGAGGACTTGTCACTTCCTCTCATCATATAGAATTAACATAATGCTGTTGAGTGGATGTCAGGTGATGAAGGTTCTGACTACATTGTGACAAAGAACAGAACAAGATTGTGAAAGTACACTATTGTCCTTCCCAGGTGAATGCAGACTGTTTCTATGCTCCTTGCTGATAGGTATTGGAAAGAATGCTTCTGTCACACAGTAGCCACATGCCAGAGGCCCTCCCAGTCTGTTCTAGTAGTGTCTACCCTTGGCTCAGGAGCCCTTGCCCCACCATCACCTGTTGTCATCCACCCAATTCTTGAAGAATCAGACTTGTGAATTAATTGGAAAGATTATGGGATCACCTCCTGCCCTTACCCTACAAGTTGAAAGATAAAGTTCAGAAGTCTTTGACCATGGTCTCTCTCAGTCACTACATCCTGGGTATAATGTTGTCTTTCATTTATTATCTAGGCTGGTTTGTTGGGGCTGGGGGAAGTTTCAACTACAATAATTATGACAGCTTTATTGAGGTATCACTGAAGTATACAAATTGTGAATAGTTAAGGTGTACAATTTGAATTTTTAATACAAGATACATTGTGAAATCATCACTGCAAATAAGCTAATTAACACACCTGTCACCTCTGTATCATTACCATTGTGTAATGACATGTATATGTGTGTGGAATGTATAGTGAGAAGATTTAAAGATCTATCCTTTCAGCAAATTTCAAGTATGCAACACAGCATTGTTAACTCTTGCTACCATGCTGTATATTAGGACTCCAGAATTTATTCATTTGAATAACTGAAATTTTACCTTTGACCAGTTTCTCCATTTCCCCTCCCTTCATTATAGTAGCTGTCATCCACAGATGCAGAATCCAGTCTGAGAGTTCAGCCAGGTTCCAAATGTGTCACCTGGATTGTGCCTTCAGGGGCTATGGAAAATAGCACAATAGCTGGATTTGAGCCAGTCATTATCTCAGACTCTGTGTCCAGCAGGCCTGGAGCTGCCCCTGGGAGGAAATGGCCATAGGTACCTGGGGAGGGTGGGCATCCCTGCTGTGTGCATTTGCTGTGAAGGAGCTGCACCTTTCTCATCATGGGAACCTGCTACCCCTTCAGTCTATGGGTTCTAGGTGTGAGGATGGAATCAGATTGGAAAGGAGGCAGGTACTAGCTTCCAAACAAGATGCTGACAGCTTTTGCCTATGCCATCTGGTTCTGTGTATGACATTGGTGTCTCCCTCTTAGCACCAGGAACACCAGGCTCTATTGGACATCATCACAGACCCTGCTTATAGCCCAACAGCTGTCCGTTAGTGCAGTTTTACCCATGTTTTCCTGCGGGTTAAGTGTAGCCACCTGGCTCATGTTTCTTGTGCCATCTTACGCCCCCGCCCAGACTCAGTTCTGTAATGATGATTCCATCCTAATGCTCCCTCCCCAGATCATTCCTTATTACCCTACTGAAAGGTACATCTTGGGGGCTGTTCAGGAGAAACTGGTCATCTTTCATCTTGAGCCAGTGATCCACTTAGGTTTTCATCCCTTCTCAGTACACTTCCAAGGATGCTCTGGAATCTCCACCTGAGTCATCATTCCTTCCAAGTTCCCAAGAGCAGCATATCATAACCTGGTACAGGGGCTTTTGCCAGATTAATTCCAAGCCATGGGATGAAGTCAGTAGATACCCCTGCCTGGCCTCCTACTTCCCACCTGCACCCAGTCTGCAGCCCTCAAGGGCTACTGCTGGACTGGCTGTCCTGTTGGCACATATTATCCAGGTACTGCAGCTCCTCCCAGCTGGGCCATGCTGCCATGAGACCAGGTTATTGTTCTGAAGCAAGGCCAGTAGGTGCAGGCAGATCCTCAGGGGTGAATGTGCCTTGCAAGGCCCCTGCTGTGGTTGTAACCTGCATTCTGCAGACAGGAATCTACTCTCTAGCAAGGACCAGGGGCCATCTGCCACTTAGTACAGGGGAGTCAGGGGTCAGTAATCTCCTGTGCCATGTCACCTCCCAAGTTTCAGAGAACAACTCCTTCCTTGAAGAGTCTTGGCCAAGACTCTGCAAGGCTGTGAGTGCAGCCTTCTCTAAAGTTCTGCTGTTCTCAGCAGTCTTCAGTGTGCTCCACACTTGAGCTGCAGGAACTGGGGTTCCAGAATTTAGAGAGCAGAGCTCCTACAGCCTGAAGGTGGTGTCCCCTGTATGCTCTGGGGAGATGGGAATGGAATCTGGACAGCATGCTGCATAGCTCATTGGCATGCCTTTCTGTCCACAGGAGAACGATTACCTTCAGGACTGCCTTGATGCCATCCAGCAGGACTTTGTGATTTTTAACAGAGAAAAGTGAGTTTGTGTTTGTGTGTGTGTGTGGGGTGGTGGTGGTGGTGACGGGAGTTGATGGAGTAGAAAGAGGGAAATTAGGCCAGGATTTTCTTGGCCACGAAAGCCTAGAGACCCCAGCAGCCATGTGGCACCAGTGGCCTGGGATGCTGGATGGCCTTGGAGGGGAGAGGTGGGAGCCCCTGTACAGACTCCTGCAGGGGGTTTCCTGGGTACCCTCTAGTTAGAAATGAGGCCAATGGCCAGAATCTCCTGGGAAGACACTTGGCAGATTGCTCAGATCAGGGTGGCCCCATCAGAGTCATATTAGCTCCTGTGACTCAGTTATTCATTCACTCAGCAAACATTTCCTGAGTGTCAGTACAGATGGGACAGAAAGGACACTGATGGCTGATGAGGTAAAGCAGGCCACAGACATCTAACATCTGCCTCAGTGGGAGGAGGAAGCTCGGCACAGTGGAGCTGGAGGGAGGAAGAGATGCTTCCTGTGCCTGGAGAGGCAGAGAAGAGCTTCCTGGAGGAGGCAGCTCTGCGCTAGGCCAGGAAGCATGCTCAGGATGGCGTAGGGGCTGGTTGAGGACACTGGCCCCATCCTGGGGGTCAGAGAACAGGATGAAGAACTGTCTTTTTCAAGCTTGTGGAAAAGCCCTGTTCCAAAGTATTTGATCCCTAGAATGGGCACTAAGCCAGGCCTCCCTTCAGTGTTCAGCTGGGCATGAACTGGGATTTGCCAGCCTGCTGCCCCCAGCTCAGAGCTATCCCCATGACCCTCATCTCCTGGGGCCCCATGTACCCTGTCAGGCTCTCTGCTGAGCCCTGAATGCCCCAGAGCAGGGCTTCCATCCAGGAAGATTCCCAGCACTTGGCTAGCACATGGGCACCCCACAACAAGTCCCTGAGAAACATCCCAGAATCCTTAGATGAGTCTCTGCAAGAGCAGCTCCTGGGCAGTAGTGTACCAGGTGGGCTGCATGGGCACCTATGTTCCCCCAGGCTGAAGAGGAGCCAGGACCTCACTAACGAGCCTCTTACAGCCCCTGAGACTGGGGATGCCGCAGAGCCCATGGTGGACAGCGAGACGGAGAGTGTGGCCTTGCCTATGTGTGGCTCCATCTGCCCCTCAGGTGGGAGCAGCTAGGCTGCCTGTGTGGCATCCAAGGGTAGTTGACTCTCAGGCTGCTTTGGAGACTCAGGTCTGCCAGAGGAAGGAGGCAGCAGGGCCAAGGGTCTGCCCGAGAACCTGCCCTCAAGGCTGGGGTGTGGCCAGACTGGCAGGAGCTGTGGAGGGTGGCAGGTGGGCCAGGCTGGCCAATGCCACCTGGGCCCTGGTTACTTGCAGTGGAGGAAGGGATGCCATAGCCCGTCCCTGTGACCATGAGCTGGCAGGTTGCAGGAGGCCAGGTGCAGCACGGTGGCACAGGAGCCCTCTGCTCCCTATGGACTCGGCTGTACATAGCACGACCTTGTTGCCAGGCCCTGCCAAGGCTTGTGCACGAGTTTGGTCCAGTTCTGCTCCATTCTTGTACATCTGAGGCAGGGGTTGGGGGTGGGAGTGGGTGGGAAGGCAAAGAATGTTTTCTAGCTACACATTGTTGCGGCAGTTTCTGCTGTTTTTCTGTACAGTTTTCACCAATGAGAATTACAATCTGAGAACTGCTGTCCAGTGGTCTGTGTGTTCTTTGCTTGGGGTGTGGTGCGGTCCAGTGCCTGCAGTTTTACATAGAGAAAGCTGTCCAGGTTTGAGCAGCCAGGATGGGGGCCCTGTTGGACAGCTCTTACTGGGCAAAGCCCTACCAAAGCCCAGGACTGTGGCCTGGGGGTGACTGCCCCAGCCCATGTTCTGGGGCCACAAGGCTGCTGATGGTGACTTTGAGATGGGGGTGAGATGGAGGTGACACAATGCCCAGGAGCCTCTAGCAGTGTCCCACACAGTGCAGCTCCTGCAGGGCTGGACAGCAGCAACCCACAAGGCTCTCACTGCTGCCCTGTGCTTCTGTAGTCAGAATGGTAACAGGACAATTGGGCTGCACCAGCTCCAGACAGGCCTGCCCAGGTATCCTTGGGGGAATCACTGTGCCATGTTTATGGCCTTCCCAGGTCAGTAGCCACCCCAGACCTGTCTGTGGAGCCAGCTCTACCCCAGTGAACACTTCCCTCCTGCTTGGTAGGGCTATGAAATGATGAAGGGCCAGAATGATCACAGAATACTGGAGGAAGATCTGGCTGTGCCAGTACCAAGTCAGAAGTTGCAGGAAGAACAGGAAGCTCCCTGGCCCCTGCCTGCCCTGGCCCAGACACAGTGGGAGCTGACCATCGGTTCTGCAGCAAGACCTGGATCTCATCAACTCAATGTGGTGTACACACAAGAACGGATGTGACACCCAGGTCATCACCAGGAGGGCAGCATGGTCACATCCAGGTGACTGTGCTACAGCGAGACCCCAGAGGTGGCTGTGTTCTGGATGAGGGAGTTCAGGGTCCTGCATAAATGTGTAATGCTGAGCATGCGTTTTGGGAATGATGCTCCTTTCTGTGAGGCTGGCAGGGATGGGATGTCATCAGTTCCCTTTATCACCGTCTCCTTGGATGAGACTCTGGTGGGAGACACTGGCCCAGTGGATATCAGCCCATGTGAACTCTGGTGCCAAGGCCTCACTGACCAAGTACATCTGGACCAAAGGGAACCCAGGAAGGAAGTAGCTGGATGCCAGAAGGGCCCTTCTTCAGGTGAGCTGCCAAGATGAGTGCTTTACCAGAGCCCTGATGCACATGTGACCCGTCAGAGGTTGCAGGGGAAGCACTGATATCTGGCAGTGGCCAGAGAACAGTGGTAGTAGTCAGGGAGACCTCCCTGCTCCTGGGGCGGGAACATCCCACCCGGAGTACATACTGGCACCACCTTTGAGAAAGAGGCTGAGGCCAGGAGGCCAGTGCAGTCCTGACTTCCAGGGTTCTGAGGCTGCTCTGCCCAGAGGGGCCGGGCTTAGCTCTTGCAGCATGTGAGTGGCAACTGCCTAGGCTGCCTCCACACCTCCAGCTACCTGCAGGTTCCCATGCACCTTGGCAATCCAGCTTTCTGGGCTAGTTTGAAGTCAGTCAGAATGGGTATGGGCACCCTCACTGTGACCACCTGGCTGCACGTCAGTCTGCATCCTTGCAGCTCCTCCCACCATTCAGGCCCAGCCTTCCCGTGGCTCCATGCAGGCAGAGATGCACTGCAGGACATGACTGCCTTTCATTAGCCATGAGGCTAGGGGGAAAGCAGCGGCAAGGTGGCACCTAGGTCAGCACAGCAGCTGCTCATGGGGCTTGTGTGAGGGGAGAAAGCCAGGCTGTCCACACACATGGGCTTCTAACCCAGACATCTTTAATTGACCTGACTCACACTGGGCTGAGACAATGCCCACCGTCTGGGGTGGCAGCATGCATAGGTTGCTGGCTAGTTTCCTCACTGTACAAAACTGCTATGCTAATAAACCTATGGAAATACACATTTCATAGTAAAAGGAGAACATCTTGGCTAAAGGATCTCGAAGCTTCCCTGGAGATGGGCTCCTGTGGAAGCTCAGGTTTGGTCCCTGGAAGTGTATACACGAGAGTCCCTGCTTAGGAGGGAGCTGCCCTATGCTAAGTTCCTGGTGGATCCCTGAAGTCACAGCAGCTCTATGAGGCTGGAAGCCCGGCTTGCCCACTCTCCTTCCCATGCCAGGGAGACGAGGTAACAGGCCCCTAAGGGATGACTGTACCTTAGCACCATGGGGCAGGCAGGTGTGCTTGGGCAGTGAGTCCTAATGGGGAGGAGGCAGCAAACAAGCCTAGACCCAGCCCCTGGTGGGTTCACAAGCTCAAAGCCCCAGTCAGCCACTCCCATGATGAAGCTCCTAGGGGTTCCCACACCCTAGTGGGGGGCCCCTGCCTTCAAACTGAGGCTGAGTGGACATTAGAGTACCTAGCACCCAGGCTGGGGACCACCTGAGTTGTCAACTGCCGTGTCAAGCCTCCTCACTCTGGCAGTGAAATCTCCCCAAATTCAGCCCTCTTGAGGGAGGCTCCTCATAATAGGACCTGGGACCCCAAAAGGAGAGCTTATGGGGAAGGGAAAGGCAAGCAGAGCACCTTTCAAAGTAACTTCTACGAAGGAAAGAGCTAACTGTGGTGAGTGGTCTTCACACCACTCTCCAGGGGGAACAGCACCCCCCTGGACCCCAAGTCCTACATGTCTAGGAAAGAGAAGTGATGTTTGAACGTCCACCAGGGGGCGCCATGATCTTCTGAGCAGTGCGTCTAGCGATGTGATCATCTGCCTGAGACCCTGAAGAAAAGGGAAGGGGGTTGTGGTAAGGAGAATGAAGCAGAGTGTAGAGGTTCCCTTTGAGCCAAGAGGGGGAGGTAGGCAGGGCTCCTGCACCCTGAGGTGACTACAGAGCCCCACCCACCCTCATACAGTGTACCTGAGGTCTCTGAGGATCTTGGCTCCCTGAGGCTGTGGCTGGTAGACCACCTGGCCAGGCAGGATCCCCCCCATCCCTGAGGCTCTAGGGCCACAGGAAAGATCCCAATGAATCCCTAAGATCTGTGGGGATTCCAGGAAGCCTTCCTGCCTCATCTTTCTCATGGGTCCGTGCGATGGGAGAAAGCTGCCCCCAGTTGCAAGACAATGTTGGATTTGGAGAACTTGCCCCTGGTCCTACACTCCCAGCATGTGATCAGAGACTACCAGCACTGTCCCACGCAGGAGGATGAGACGGCATCAGGCTGGTCTGGCTCCCACCCAAGGGTAGGGAAAGAGGGAGAGGTCTGGCTCCAGTTTTCAGGGAGATCCTGGGTACTCCAGGCTTCTGGCGGCTCCTCAGCTCATGGTCTGTAGGAGGCACAGCAGAGGCCCTACCCAGAGGCTGGGTTCTGGCCATCAGCACCTCCAGGAGGAGCCTGTGCCCTCCCAGGCATTTCACTGCCACACAGCTCAGACCCATTCCTGAGACCTCACAGTGACTCAGGCTGGCTAGCCTGGGCAAGCTGAATCGCTGCAGTACATGTGAGTCCCTGGAAAGGGGCCCCCTTGCCTGCCATCCCATGCTCAGCCCTGGGCTGAGTGACAGCCTGCACACCCAGTGTATTGGCTCAAGAGGGGGAGTACATCACAGAAGCCTGAGGGCAGGAAGGGGCTTCCCCAGCTCGGGCTCACAGTCCTTTGCCCCTCACAAGGCCCCTCATTAGCATGCACAGCACCCGACCCTGGGAGCTGCCGGGTGTAGGCACAGGTATGGGCAGCCCTGCAACCTTCAGCAAACTCAGTAACACTCAGGAACATGGTAGGCCCTGGAGTCTGAGGCTTGGTAGCCCCAAACAGGCTCACTACCCCTCAGGATCTGGCAGCAGAGCTCTCACCCTGCACTCCAGGCTCAACTCACCGGATAAGCTGAATCCTGACTGGTGCAGGTTGCGCACAGGTGGCACTGAGATCTTGCCTGGGCAGGATGCACGGGCCTGGGTGCTGCTCCCTGACTTGGCAGGCACCATCACTTCATGGACCGGCCCGTCATAGAGGCCTCGGGGCACACCGTGGATCTCTGCCAGCTGTGGGCCAAGGGGGCTGGGTATAAGGGGACTGACGACCAGCAGCTGGAGGGCAGCACCCCTGTCTAAGGGCCTGCTCTGCTCTGTACCCCAACTCCACCCAGCTCAGGAGTTCCAGGCTCCTCTCCAATGGCAGGACCCATACAGCCTGGACACACAGGCCTCCCTCCTCAAAGTGCCCCTCTCCATACACACACCTGCCCACAGGTACATACATCCCTTTAGATCTACACACTTGTGCACACAACTCTCCCTGCAGCTCCCATGCACACACACCCAGCCACAACCTCAGCGGGAGGAGCAAAGCATTTCCCAGGAGCCCCAGGATGGACAAATGACCTGGAGCCTGAAGTCAGACCTTCAGATGCAGCTATGCTTCGGGCCAACTACCTCACTCAGGATCCTGGGTTACACCCATAACTGCCAGGTCTGAGCCCAGCCCTGGGGGCCCTCTGATCAGATCTTTGCTTGGGGAGGGCTGTGTATCATAGTTGGGCTGATGATAAGAGCAAGTCAGCGTGAGGCAGAGTCCCAAGGTCTCAGGACCGAATGCAGCCCCCCTGCCCTTGCACCCCTCCTCTGAAAATGGGGCTGGTCTGCTCTCACAGGGCTGCCCTTCAGGAGGCTCTTAACAGAACCCCCATTCCTGCCCAGCCCACCCCTCAGGGAGGGAGGGAGGGAGGTGAGAGATGTGTGTGCCCCAGGCCTGGGCCGGCGCCTTGCCCACTCAAACCCTGGCAGAGGAGGTAGCAGCCCAGGGTCAGATTGGCGCCAGCACCTTTGTGGGCTCTGACAGCCTTGACAGCTGTGTCTTTGCAAATTAATGGAGATGCCACCCTTCTAGGATGGACAAAAGCAGTGCAAGCCCCTACCCCAGGAGACCATCGTTGCCCGTGCGGAATGCCAGCACTCCCCATTGAGTTCCACATCCCCCTGGAACGCCTGGAGCGGAGCTGGGTGAAGTACACCAGTGTGTACAGTAACTGCCACACTGTCCTGTGTGTGTGCAAGGTGTGTGTGGTATGTGTGGGAGAAGCACTGGTGGCTGGGGCAGACACATGCCAGACACAGATGAACATGGACTGGTGGATGGGGAAGTAAGTTGGCAGCTGACCGTGGGCACACAGGAGATCTCTGGCCACAGATGGCCTCCTTGCCCTCTTCCTTCCAGCAGGCTCTGCTCCACTTACAGCCAGCAGGCCCGGGGCAAGCAATGGGCAGCACTCTGCGGGCCAGGGCCAGGCTGGCTAGGACCAAAACCTCACATTGAGCTGAGGGTGTAGCTCAGGGGTCCAGAACTTGCCTAGCCTGTGCAAGGCCCTGGGTTCGACCTCCAGCAATGAAGAAAAGGAAAAAAGGAAAGAAAAGCTATTCTTAAGGGCCAGGGATTTAGCTCAGTGGCGCTGCACCTGCCAAGTGCAGGGTCTTGAGTTCAATCCCCTGTATCGCCAAAACAACCAATGAAAACAAAACAAAAAACCCTCACGCTGAGGGGCTCCCTGCACCTGGGTGGAGTACTGCATACCCCACCCACCCATGAGGGCCCCGCAGGCCCAACCCTTACTCTGTTGCGGGCCTTTATCCTCTTGTAGACAAAGTCTGGGAATGTCTTCCGAGGAATGAAGCGGCCAGACCCGGGGGTGGCAGACAGATTCCCATCCTCCAGCACGACTCTGCCTTGGCTGATGACCACCGTGGGGGCTCCTCGGCACTCAACTCCTTCAAAAATGTTGTACTCCACATTCTGGGGAGAGAGGCCTGTGGGCCTAGTGTCCTTCAGCCCTGCCCCCTTCAGCCCCCATTGCACTCCTAGGGATGAAGGAGGTCTGTGTGTGCTGGTGCAAGAGCAGCAACAGTACTCAACGAGGCAGACTTGCAGGCACTGAGAAGCAACAGCCCCTTGCTCCAGGCATCTCTCAGTCACATAGTTCTTACAGGAACAAAGGGAGCTCGGGCAACAGCCAGCATGGGTACCCACCCCCTGCATGGCAGGCGCAGCACCCTCTGCCTCAGCATCATTTGTACCCCACCACACACCTCTCAGAGAAGCAGCCAGATGGTATGGTTGGGCCAGAGATAGGTGAGGCTGGGCGTGGGGGACTCAGTCTCCATCCCTGGAACTCCCCTGAGAACCCAGCCTGAGAGAAGGTCTGGGCTTGCTTACCACATTGTGGGTCTTGGCAGAGATGATCTTTGTGGCCCTGGGGTTCCAGATAACCAGGTCAGCATCAGAGCCCACAGCTACTCGCCCCTTCCTTGGGTAAAAGTTGAAGATTTTGGCAGCATTTGTACTGGTCACAGCCACAAATTCATTCTCATCCATTTTCCCAGAGGCCTGAGAATCAAAAAGGCCAGTTGGGGGAGAACTGGGTCTGGTTTCCCATATGTCACCAAGGTACCCCAGGCAACTAGGGCCAGCCGGAGACTCATAGCCTCGCCACTGTAACACCCCAGGCTCAGCCCAGGCTGGGGCACTGCTGTACCCAGACAGGCAAGCCAGCTGGTGCGACGATCCTGTGAATGAAGGCTCATTTCTGGGCTCACTTTGTGGGTAAATGGCAAAGCTTTGATAACAATGTCATTGTCCCGTGAAGGACTGTGACAGTCCTGAGAGGCAAGGTGGATGAGGTAAGTGCTCAGAGAAGGCTCAGGACAGAGGGCAGGGTGACATAAGACAAGGGACCTGCTCTTATCTGAGTGGGTAAATGCGTTTTTAAAAAATGTTCTAATTTTTTTGTTGGTACCGGGGATCAAACTCGGGACCTTGTGCTTGTGAGGCAGGCGGTGGAACCACGTAAAAAATGTTCTAATTTTTAATTGACACCCCAAAGTGTACATATTTATGGGGTACAAGGTGATGTTCTGATACATATACATGATGTTAGAATCTGCAGGGAGGGTAGAGGGTAACAGC